TGCATGGTGTCAAACATGCGACCCTCAGAAGACAACACAGGGATGGACAAGTGGAAATAAAGATATTGATGATTGCATTAAGAAATTTCAACTTAAAACTACATCTTATGGAGATATAATCGAGTGGATTCCTTTTAATAGATTAAAGAATATTCGAAAGAATGATGATGGATTTTCAGCAACCTGGTTAGATGGAATACGATTTATAAAACATAAATATAACAATAAATGCACACGATCACGTATACGATCATTTAAAGTGGAACTTAACACATTAACTAGAACACAAAGTTTATTAGATATGCTAAATGAAGTAAGTTAAAATATTTAAGGGTAGATCGCAGTTAAAAGGCATAAACATTGACAATCAGAAATTTTTTTATAGTCGATTTACTACAACAAAAGTACTTTTTTACTAATTAAAGTTGTAGATCATGTTATTACGTGTAAATCACATGATATGTTTCTTACTATATGATTTTCCTTATTGTCGGCAATATGAAAGCTATAGTAAAACTCCACCGTATTTTATACCCTTTAATTGCGAACTATCCCTCAATAATTTTATCATTATTACGCAATATATGGTTTTATTTTAATATACTGTGTATTTTCTTGTTTAATAAGTTTGTATATTATGTATTGTTAAAGAATTGTAAAGTATATGGTTTAACTCAACATACCACAACGAATGAGTATATGTTGGTATTTGATGAATTTAGTTCTGTAAGAGAGTACCAGAATGGAAAATGTGCAAATTGCAAGCGATATAACACATATTATGGTTGGTGCCAAACATGTGACCCTCAGAAGACAACACAAGGATGGACAAGTGGAAATAAAGATATCGACGATTGCATTAAAGAATTTCAACTTAAAGCTATTTCTTATGAAGATGTAATTGAATGGATTCCTTTTAATAGATTAAAGAATATTCAACAGAATGATGATGGATTTTCAGCAGTCTGGTTAGATGGAATACGATATGTAAAAAAGAGTATATTTGATAAATATACACAGTCACGCACATCAGAAAGTATAATTACACTTAAAACATTACAAAATACTTTAAAAGAAGTGAGTTTATATTATTTTATTACTATATATGTAGCCTATTTAATCTGTATATTTAAATATGCATATATATATTTAATATAGCAATTAGTGAGTCAATTAAAGAGTCAATTGGAGGATAAAAGAATCTATGGATTAACTCAAAATATATTCACAAATGAGTATATGTTAGTATTTGATGAATTTAGTTCTGAAAGAAAAGAAAATTATGGGAAATGTGCAAATTGTAAGCGATATAACACATCGCCAGCATGGTGTCAAACATGCGATCCTCAAAAGACAACACAAGGATGGACAAGTGGAAATAAAGATATCGACGATTGCATTAAGGAATTTCAACTTAAAGCTATTTCTTATGAGGACGTAATTGAATGGATTCCTTTTAATAAATTAGTTAATGTTCAAATGATTGACGATAGAGTTTTAGCCACCTGGTTAGATGGAATACGATATGCAAAATATAACTATAGAGATAAAGTTAAATATACACAGTCACGTATATCATCATGCGTAGTGGAGCTTAAAATATTGATGCAATCACAAAATTTAGTAAATCTTTTAAAAGAAGTAAGTTTATACAATTGTTACTTACGTGTGCTTACGTGTGCTACTAAGGGAAAATGAAACATCGTGCTTTCAAGGTTTATTTTTATTTACTGGACTTTCTAATCGGCGACACATATTTAGTTCTGTCAAGACTTCGGTCTTTTAAATATATTAAACTTTTCAAAGGTTGAATCCGGTAAATAAGCTCGAAAGCATTTTCCCTTGGCACATTATTACTATGTGTAGTTTGTTTAATTAATATCGTGTTTATATAACCTTAATTAATTATATATTATATATTTTATTTATTATATTTTAAAAGGTCAAAAATCATGCGCAATCTGAGTGTCAATTAGAACGTAAACATGTTTGTGGATTAACTCAGAACACAATCACAAATGAATATATGTTAGTATTTAATGAATTTGGTTCTAAAAGGGATAAATCGAATGGAAAATGTGCAAATTGCAAACTATTTAACACATCTAAAGCTTGGTGCCAAACATGTGACCCTCAAAGGACAATACAAGGATGGACGAGTGGAAATAAAGATATCGACGATTGCATTAAGGGGTTTCAACTTAAAACTACAAAATACGAAGATGTAATCGAATGGATTCCTTTTAATAGATTAGTTAATGTTCAAACTATTGGTAGTAGAGTTTTAGCAACCTGGCTAGATGGAATACGATATCATGAATATGATTATAATAAATATACACAGTCACGTATACCAACATATAAAGTGGATCTTAAAATATTAAATAGAACACAAAGTTTATTAGATATGTTAAAGGAAGTAAGTCAAATAATAATTTATCATTGTTACACGATATATATAACTATATTTTAATCAATACTGTATTTTTACATGTTTAATAAGTTTGTAGGTCATGTACAATTAGAAAATAAAGGTTTTAAAGTATATGGTCTAACCCTAAACATTGCAAAAAATGAGTATATGTTGGTATTTGATGAATTTAGTTATAAAAGACATCGGGAGAATGGAAAATGTGCAAATTGCAACCGATTTAACACATCATCAGCATGGTGCCAAACATGTGACCCTCAGAAGGCAACACAAGGATGGACAAGTGGAAATAAAGAGATCGACGATTGCATTAAGGAATTTCAACTTAAAACCACGGAATACGAAAATGTAATCGAGTGGATTCCTTTTAATAGATTAGTTAATGTTCAAATGATTGGTAAAGGAGGATTTGGCTCTGTATTTTCTGCAACGTGGTTAGATGGTAAAAGAATAGTTTCAGGACCAAGTTATGACTATGTACGATCACGTACACCGTCATGTGTAGTTGCACTTAAAACTTTACCTGGTTCACAAAAGAGTTTTCTAAGAGAGGTAGGTTAAAATTATTTATTTATATCTAATATAAACAAATTATAAATAAACTATTAACATTATAAATTTATTTTAATTAACAAGTTTAAAAGTTACACAAAATTTAGATTAATGGGTAATAATCTTGAAGTATATGGACTAACTCAAGACACGACTAATAATGAATATTTGATGGTATTACAATATGCAAATAGAGGAAGCCTTCATAATTTTCTATCTTTAAATTTTAGAGACATTAATTGGAAAAGTAAATTAAACCAGCTTGTCGATATATCTAAAAATTTAATAAAAGTACACAAAGCAGATTATGTCCATGGAGATTTTCATAGCGGTAATATATTGCAAAATCAATATATTAATGATAATCTAATATCTTATATTGCAGATCTTGGATTATCTAGAAAGAAGGATGATTCTGATTTGGAAGATGGTATTTATGGCGTTTTACCTTATGTTGCACCAGAAGTATTAAATAAACATCCATATACAACAACGGCCGATATTTATAGCTTTGGTATTATTATGACTGAGATGTCTACGGGAATACCTCCTCATTTTGATATTGAGTATGATGAAACGTTAGCAATACAAATATGTAATGGATTACGCCCTGAATTTGCTAAAGACACTCCTGAGTGTTATATCCAATTAGCAAATCAATGTATGAATGCTAATCCTTCTGATAGACCAACTGCATCTGATATACATAAAGAAATATCAACATGGTATAAGGTATTAGATAATAGTAGTGCAGAAAATAAAGATGAATTAGCAATATTAAAGACATTCCAGTTTGCTGATGCAATTATTCCAACATTGCCAACCGAATTGCCAATTTTCTCTAAAGATAAACTTACAAGTAAACTGCTTAACTTTAAAAACCTTTCTAAGCCAATTAATTCTTCATTTATTGCAACTGTAAAATCAGCGAAAGTTTATGGTAATAATTTACTCTTGCCTATAATATGTTCAATTTTAATCGATAATATTTTTATTTTTTAATTTTTTTTAAGATTCTACTACACTCGATTTTTCGGTTTCTAATGATGATGATATTTAACGTGTGTATTAATAAATCTAATTTACTAGTCTATAACGATAAGAATATTAATTTATTTATTTAAATACTTTATTTCTATAGCTAATAATGATGTCTTATAAACAATGAATGGATTTTATTTAAATTATTTATCGCGGAAATATTCGGTAAATATATTTCAAGTTATTAAGATATATCCAACCGTCTAGCCTTGTTTAAAGAATTTTATATAAAAGAATTTTTAAAAGAATGTTGCTATTTACCGCCGGTGGCGGGTATCATATCTCAAAAACCTACTAGCTAGCCCATGTCAGGGGTACTAAGTAAAAATGCTCAGGACCCTAAAAACTTAATCCTAACTAAAATTTGGATCTTTATATTTAACTCTAACTTCAGGCAACCGGCGATAAATACTAAACTTGGTTAAATCTTCATTTCCATTATCAATTATTTGGACTTCTTTGACTTTCTTTTATACTTGTTTTTCTCACTTCCTTGCTGTACTAATATCCAAAATTATTTCAAACAAAATTCTGAAATTTTTTTATTAAAAAAACCTCAAATTATAAATGACATTATGAATAAAGAAAATAAAACGATCTCGATGTCTTGTGCTCGAAGAATAAGTAATTCTACTAAATTAAAATTTTAGTATTATATATGTTATACTCTTAATTAGATCGCTAAATACCTTTTGTTATAAGCGAGAACGTTAAGGATGATGATTGTTTTCGTTTATTTGAGTCCCGCCCATTCTCTCCATCATCTAATCATCCGGAAAATTGAGATGAGTCAGTACCAGAAATTTCACCATATATATATCTTCATTTCATTCCATAAGTACAATTGAAGTTCGTTCTTCGATAAATAAAAGCCCAGTACAACAGAACAGTTCAACAATGCCAATACCTATAATAGGTAAAGTTAAATACTGATTAATTTCAACTTATATTCATATTTAGGTGTTTTTTTTGTTTTTTAAGAAATTGTTGGAATAGCTCTTGGAATATTAATAACTATAGCAGTAATAGGATTTTGCTCTTTTAACTACTTCAAACGTCGTTATATTTTTCGTGATTCATGACTTTCACATCAGGAAACTTGTACTATCACCTCTCGCGACATACCCAAGTTTCAAAACAATCTTCAAAATAATTTCCAAAACAGTAGTCCTAATTTTTCATCTCATACTATTAACCAATATTGCAAGATTTACATTAAATGCTGAAATACCATCTCAACGTATTGATTCTCCTTCTCTAACTGAAGGGAAAGTAGTGGATTTTCTATTGATGGACATTCTACACCTTCAAATTCTTTAAATACATTTCAAATGTCAAACATGACTTTATATTATAATGGGATTGAAGTTCCACCACCCTGTGCACGGATTATTTCATTAGAATTACAAATGCAAATTGGAAAAGAAATTATGGCCCAAAGAGAAGATTCTCGAATTTCACTATTGCTGTACCTTGGTTCAAAATATAAATTATCTGATCTGCCATCAACTATTATAGATAATAGACCTTGTTGTTTATAGTTTATATCTATAAGAAAGGTGTAAATATATATAAATATATAGGTATTTATTAAATTTGCATTATGTATCTATTAGTTTTGATTAGCAAGTATATCCGATATAATATAAAGTGAAAAATTATATATATAATTTATTTTATTTTTAAACTATTTAAAATCAAATATTTACAATACAATCAGTGTTGGTCAAATTAGTGGTCGACTATAAATTTGCTGGTCATTGGTCAAAAGGTTTCTGGTTAAACTGGTCTGGTCAAATTGGTCAAATGGTCTAGCAATATAACAAATCAGACAGACCAATCACACAAGTTTGATTATAGTTAAATTGGCCTAATTGGTCAATTTGTTCTTATAACTAGACCATTTGATCAACTTGACCAATGTCAAAGATGCTTGACCGGACTGGTCATTGGTCAAATGGTCGAATTGGTCTGGTCAGCCCAACACTAAATACAATATATATGAGGCTGAGTCAATAGAAATCAAGCAAATTTTTTTTAAGTAAATTTTTTAAAATTTTGAATGACAATAGCTTAATAACAACTTAATCAAATTTAATAAATTTTTTTTAAATAAGTTCTACAAACTTATAGAATTTATTTAAAATTTTTTATTAAATTTGATCAAGTTTTTGTTAAGTTATTAGCATTTAAAGTTTTTTTTTAAAAAAAATCCAATAAACCAATTTGCTTGATTTCTATTGACTCACCCCATATATTGGAGATTAGATTATTTATCTTATGTATAGATTTAATATGAGTATATATATCAAAAAAATTTTATTATCGTTATCTATTTATTTATTTCTGCAAGTAATGCAGACCTCAAAAAATGGTTATTGGTTATTTGTACTAGTAACGCGTGGAGTAAAGACGTTAAAATTAAGGTTAGGGTGAGGCAGTGTTGTAAATTTTTGTTTTCTGTAAAATTTAGTACCTCTAGTAAACTTTTTAAAAGTTCTAGTAGTTCTATAATTTGTGCCATTTAGTTGCATCAAATTCTTGAATCTCCTTGAAACACCGCAAATGGTTAATTATTTTTGGAATATCTTCATTTAAATTTGAACTAGAGATCGGAATTGGTTGTAAATTGATAAAACTGAATTAAATTTGCACATAATATAAAACCGGTTATTATTTAAGTTAAACTGGATAGAATTTAAACCGAATTATAATCAGGTTGTATAACATATATTGTAATATGTAATTGGTTAATTGACAAGAACTCTGATTGGCCAAAATAATTTACTGTATCACGTGAAATTTGACAGTCCTTTAAGGATAGGAGCAAGTATTTTAAAATATATATAAATCTAATGGTAAATTTTTTTTATATTTAATTTTATAAAAAATTATATTAAGTAAATTAATTTTAATTATTAAGTAAAAGTTGTAGAATAGGTTTTTCTGATTCTAATAATAGTAAAATTATTAAAATAGATTGAAAACTTATTGAGATACAATATTTTAAAAATTAGAATATAAAATTATAAAATAAAATTAACTAATAGGTTTATATAAATTAACTAATCAAATTCTTTATTTTTGTATTATCTAAGTAAATTTTAACCTACCTAAGTAAACTTTATTATATATGCAAGTATATATATATATTTTTTTTAACCTTAAGCAGTCACACTAATACTTTATTAAGATTTTTGAAATTACTTCTGCAATTATATAGATTTACCTAACAACTAAGTCTAGCATTACCCAGCCACTCACAAGGTACCTAAGTGCAACTTGCCACACTACTTCAAACAGAAGCAGGCTACTTGTTTGACTACTTAAAGTCTATAGTGAAAGGGTCTTCTCCTTTCTACAACAAGCCTCAACATTGTTTTCCTAATTTCTTTATTAATTTTATTTTTTTTCTCTTTTGCTTGTTTTTTTTTTCTTCAATCTTTTGCTGATTCATCTTTCCTTTTTTCTTTGAATTCTTCTTCTTTATTTCCTTTTTCTTCATTTTGGTTATTATGCCTTTTTTTTTTCCATTCATTAACCTTTTTACATCATATTCTTCAAACTTGTTTATAAAATGTGTTTCATGCTGTTTTTGCTACTGTCTCAATAAACTGTTGTCTTTCTTTTGTATTTAGAAGCTGTATTAGTCTGTCTTGTGTCTTTTTCAAAATTAAGTTATTGTTAAAGTTTCTCTTATCTTTATTTCTTCTACTTCACTTTTTCTGAAAAATACTATATATAGTACATATAGTAGAATGCAGGTTTTTTCTTCTTCTTTCAACTCTTTTTAGACTGTTGTGATAGTTATTTTTTAGATTTGTTTCTAAAAACTCTGTTATCCTTTGCATGATACTAGATGTGACTGTATTTTTTTAACTTTATCTTGACAAACTTGGCACTTTGTTGTTATATATATATCTGGTCTTCTTTTATTAAGTTCTTCTAGAGTTGGAAGTTTATTTATTATATACTTTATAAATACACATCTTCTTGTACTACTTCTTCTTATTGTGCAATGTACTTCTTTAGTCATTTTTAGTTTTTTTCAAAATTGTATCCAGTCATGAATTATGATTTCTTTTTTCAGTTCTAACTTTTTGATTATATTTGTTTCTTTTTATTCTACTTTTAATCTTGTGTTTGTTACCAATTTGCATAACAATCTTGTTGGTATGTCAGTTTATTTGTTTTCCCACTCTTGGCAGTACTCTATCTCTTTACAACTGATTTTCTCTATTTGTATTATTTTCTCATTTATTGTTTCCTTCTTTGCAAGACTATTAGCTTTATTATTCCATTTGTTTTTACTATAACTTTTAAGTTTTACTAATTCTATTTGTATACTTTTTGTGTTGATAAGATCTATGATCTTTATTATCCATATCACATTTTTCTTCTTAAGAATTTTTGTTTTATCTATTTGCTTTAAACCTCTACTAATATTTCTTATTGTAGCATTACTGTCTATATATACTTCTATTTATTTCTTTCTTGGTATTATTAGAATTGCTGCCTATATTGCTACTAATTCTGCTATTGTTGATGTTATCTATTCTTCTAGTCCTAATGATGTTTTTTCTTCTGGCCACTCTTGTGTTTTATTTGTTTGAATTCATCCTATATCTATGCTTCTGTCTCATGTTTCTTCTTTGGTCTTTACATTTGTAATACTATCTATATATATAATATATTTGATTTTGTTTCTCAATAGGTTTCTTCTTAGTATCTTCAGAATTTCTTGTTTGACATTCTCATTTAGTTGTTGTTGCTTAATTATCTCTATTTCTAACTCTTTTACTATCATTAGTTCTTCAAGTTTCTGCTTACTGTTTTTTAATTTTTCTGTTTTTACTTTTTCTATCAACTGGTCTATAGTTATCTTAATCTTACTATTTCTTTTTTCCATCAATATATCAGAGATTACTCTAATCTTGTTGTTTATTCTTATCTATTACCAGCAACTGCCTTCTTTCTGTTCTTCTTCTTCTATGCATCCATTACATCTACTAATTTCTGTTACTATTTTATTCTCTTTATTTTGCATTTGCCAATGCTCTAATAGGACCTTTTTTTTTTCTTTTTTATTATCTTTCCTAATTGTTTGTCATCTTGTGTACTATATATTATCCACTCTTTTCTTCTTTTAGCTTTTGACATAGTCTTCTATATTATTTTCATCATTTGGGTATTATGCCTGTTTGTCTTAAAGTGTTCTTTAATTTTTCTATTTGTTGGCTCTTCAAACATTTTGAACTTTATTTCTTTAAACCATTTTGCTTTTTGATTTTACTTGAACATCTACAAAAGTTTTTAAATTGTTGTCACATAACTAGCTTCTCACCTTTTATATTGAACAGTTGGTTTAGATAGATTAGACCTGCTTCATTTATCATCATTCCATTTCTTTTCTACAAATATGTTTCTAACAATTCTTATATTTTAGTATTATATTCAAATATTCTCTATAAGTTACTTTCTGTCTTTATGCTTATTTCTAGTTCTCTTGCTTTTATTACTGTCAGACATGCTAAGTTGTTCTTTTAATACACTTTGCTAGCTAGTATTTCTTCTAACTTCCAAATATCTTCTGTCAAATCTGCTTTTTGACAATCTTATATTATTCTTAGCTTCATTAACTGACCTAGGCTATCTTGTTTGTTCAATCTTAATAGCAAGCCATTCACTTGCTTCATTAATAACTCTTGTTGTAATGTTCCACATCTATCAAGATCTTTATGTTCTATTATACAATTTTCTAATGTTCTTTGCAAATTGCTTTTTTGCTTTGCTAGACATATTATTGGTTGATGTATTTCATGTATTCCCTTTTCTAAGATTTTAGTCAACTGAAACATGTAGTTTAGTTTTGAAATTATTACTACATTGTTTATATATGTAATCTGAGTTGTTATTATCTTTTTGTATTTAAGGTCTTTTATTGTTTAAATAACTATTTCTATAGCTTTCCTTTTAATTAATACTTCTCACATTCTGTTATTTAGCCATATTCGAATAATTTTGTTTCTTGGCTCTTCTCTTATACTACTTTTGCCAAAAAGCTACTTCTTTTTCTTTTCTTTTAACTTTTGTGTCCATTACTAGTAGCTTTGATTTTAATACATTAATTTCTATGTTGTTTATCTTGAAAAACTTTTTAGTTATTTCTAAAATCTTCAATAGCTGGCCTTTGCTGTTTGCAATTTATGTTGTTATTTGCATATGCAATTGCTGCCTGGCAGAATTTTGTAACATTATTACATTATATTCCTTCTTTAATTTGTTGTTCAACTATATATCTTAGACTTTTATCT